CTACTACTACTGCTGCTACTACTACTACTACTACGACTACTACTACTACTACTACGACCTACTACTACTACTACTACTACTACTACTACTACTACTACGACTACTACTACTACTATTACTACTTCTACTTCTACTACTACTACTACTACTACTACTACTACTACTATATCACTACCTCGACATACTATACCGCTATACTGCTATACTACTATACTACGACTACAGCGACTACTACCACTACTGCTACCACTACTACTACTACTACTACTACTACTACTACTACTACTACTACTACTACTACTACTACTACTACCACTACTACTACTACTACTACTCGTACCACTACTAGTGCTATTCCCGTTTATGTTATCGGCGGCGCGCTGAACGGGGTGAGTGCGGGGGGCGAACACTCTCAAAAGGCGGTGGGGCTTCTTAGCAGCCTTCCGTCTTCGAGAAGAAGTCTTCCGTGGCTTCTGGGGAAGGTTTAGGAAACTTTTCAGAAGGCCGAAGGTCTTGTGAGCCTTCTAAGAAGGATCCGTCCCGTTTGACTTCTCCATGGGGCTAGTCCGCCTTTTGAGCACGCGCAGTCATGCGCTTCCCAAAAAGGAATGCGCGAAGATCCTAGATGCAAACATTGCTAGGTGCCCATCAGCGCCCGTGAAGCTGCTCCTCCAGCCCGGCCATTACGTGGTCGAGGAGCTCAACGTTTCGCGGCTGCCTGGCAGGAGCGCCGCGGCGCTCGCCGTCAACGAACGCCCATAAGAGAAGCCGCCGGTGTCGCGATGGCCGCCCGCGTCGCCCCAGAACCAGGCAGTGGCGCGCCAGGCATGGTCCAAGCGGGACCGTTCGGCCGCGGTCGCAGGCCGGAATCTGAGAAACGACGGGCACCGTTTCGCTAGCTCTTGCCATGCATGCGGGGGGAACGGCAGGGCGAAGTCGACGCCGTGCAGGAGTTTCGCTCGCGGCCCCCAGCACCAGCGACGTCATCCTGCAGTCTGGCCGCCAATCGTTCGAAGGGCTCGGCCTGCAAATTCTGGGCGAAACAACCGTCGACTGAACGAAGGATCCCGATGCCGTGGTCCGTGGATATTCCATGTCGTCAACCTTGCTTTCTGTTGCGATCAGGACGACGCTGGTATTGGTGTCCAGGTGGTCGGGACTGCAACCCTCGCACCACTGCCGAGTGCCCGCGTCCCGTTATGTGGCGCTTCGCGTGCCGACGAGCATCCATCGAATCTGATGTTCGCGGCGGGGTTCGGGTGGCTCGGGCTGCAGACTCTATCGACCATCGCTCGACGCTGCTGCCGCCTCCGCCGTTGGACTTACCACCGGGCCGCCCCTTGGGCCCCGCAGCATGTAGGCCGCGCGCGGCCCTGCGCGGGGGGGCGCATACCATCTCGCGTCGCGCATCGTTGGGGGGGGGGGGGGGGACGGCGCGCGAAGTTACGTGGCCCAGATTCCCCTTGCCGCTCCTCCTCTCTGCCTCCCCGCCTCCGCTGCCTCGCCCTTTTCTTGCCGATGTCCTCGTGGTCCTCTCCCTGCCTCTTTCTCTGCTGTTCCTCCTCCTTGTGTCCCTCCCGGCCGGCGCCCTTGTGTCCCTCGCCGTCCTTCTGTTCCCTCCCTCCTTCTTCTGCTGTTTCTGCTCGTGCTGCTTGTGTTTCCTGTTCGTTCCGTCTCCCTCACCTTCCTTTGTCCCTTCATCTCTTCTTCTTATCTCCCCCTTGCCCCTTGCGTCTCTTGCTTTTCCTCCTTATTTCTAGCCCCTCCCTCATTATCCGCCCCGTTCGTTCCTCAGTGGGTCCTCGCATCCTGGAGACGTGAAATGCGCCCTGTTTGGGACCCTGGGACCCTTGCAGATCGATCCGGCTTCAAGAAGCCCCTGAAGAAGATGTGGTTAAGAGTTCTTGCCGCGATCTCCTCCACGTCCACACTGCTTCCTTCGATCGTACCACATCGGCCGTCGGGGTGAAAGGAAAAGTGGAGCTGGGGGACGAGGAGCAGCGGCATCAGCTCGAGCAAGTGGAGTCACATGGCGGAGGCGGGGGAGGATGAGGATGACGAGAAGGACATACGCCCGCCCAAGGACTTCGGCTCAAGAGCGGGACCTGCACAGGAGGAGGGGTACAGATTGGGAGGGGGAAAGTGGTGGATGAGTGGTGCCGGAGGACGGGGTAGGAAGATCCGAGAGGAGGAAGTGGAGGTGGAAGAAGAAGAAGAAGAAGAAAAAGAGGCGGGAGAGGAGGGAGGGGGATGCATGAGGAGGGTGTGCAGACGAGAGAAGGAGGGTGGAACGGGATGAAGGAGGATGAAGAGGAAGTGGGAGGAAATGAAAGAGAAGGAGGAACCGCCCAAGGACTTCGAGGTGGGCCAGAAGGTGACTGGCACGCTCGCGAACAAGCGCCTCAACACGGTGTGGGCTGACATCGGCGTGGCCCGCCATGCCAAGATCTCTGGCCCAAGGGGAAAGTTCGACCTGCTGAGGCGGCCAGTTCCAACGGGTGGGGCTCGTCTTCCAGGGGGGGGACTCGGCGTCGCTCGGACGTGTGCATTTTTCTCGGCGAGGTCAGCGCCAGATAATCTAAACCACCTTAGAGCATCTGGGATCACCCAGAGAAAGAAAGCACGCACGCCACCAACAAAAACGCATAGGGAAGTGACGTCCGAGCGGTGTCAAGGGGAAGGGTTCGGCCTCTCGCTGCCAGCGGAAGCTAAACATCGGCGACCTCGCCAGCGGAATCACGGGGAAGACGAGAGGACGGGCGGGTGGTGTTGGGAAGGGGCTGCTTCCGAAGTCTGCTGCGCGCAGGTGCTCAGGCGACCAGGCCCAAAGGGGTGGCCTCGCCTTCCGGGGGGGAAGGCGTTGGCCCCCTCGCCCGGAGCGGAAGGACAGCAGGCACGAGGGCCCAGCACCACCTCCGCGGGGCTCGGTGCCCGACCCAAGTTCTTGTGGCCATGCTTCGACTGCGCAGTCCCGCACAGTAAGGATGGACAACCTTCCCAAGGGTACCCTTGCATCCTTGCCTCCTCGGTCCATCCTCGGCCGCTTTCGCTGGCCGCGCCCCGCTCGAGAAACGCTAACATGGCTCGCCAAGGCCCTTGCATCCTCATCGCGCGTCCTTACTGTACGGGTTGACTGTAAGACATCGGCGGTCTCGCCGACGGAAGCTCGGGGAGGGCGAGAGGCTGGGCGGGTGATGTTGAGAAGGAGGGCCTTACGACGTCTGCTGCGCGCAGCTGGTTTCGGCTAGGCCGCCAGGCAGCTGGTCTCGGCCGGGCCACCAGGCTGCTGGCGCCGGGAGGGGCAGAGGAGACGGAACTGGCTACGTTCGGGGGAACGTAAGACTCGAGTATGCCAGAACTCGGTTTAGCCAACGTTTTTTGACGAGCGCGCCCTGGATTTTTACGGTCAGGTCTTCGCAGCGGGAGTTGGCATCAAATTTCAGATTGGGTCTCGTCATTTTCATGACGGCCCCGTCAGGCCAACCCGAGTCTGCCGAACCCGAGTCTCACGTCTCCCCGATACGTGTGGCCGGTTCGCCAAGCCCCCCCCCCTACTGAACCCCCATTCCGCCCACAAAGCTCGGCGGAAGTCAGGCCAGATCTGGTGTCCTCGTGGGCTCCAGCAGGGGCAGCGTTAGGGGGGGGGATGGGCTCAGGGGGGCCCATCGACCTGCAATCGCCCAGTCATCGCCGATGGGGGCCTGATGGCCCACCCCGCCCAGAAGCTTGGGGATTCGCCATCGGGGGCCTATCGCCGATCTATCGGCGCTGTGCCGCCGAATCCGGGTCGATGCTTCCTCCCCTGATCTGGTCCCCCCCCGACCATTCCTCCTCACAGCCAGGTGGGGCGAGGTGCTCGTCCTGGTCTTCAAGAGCTTCGACCGCGCCAAGGGGACGGCGACCGTGGACGTGCCGGACCTCGAGGAGCGCGTCGCCGGCAGGGGAGCCGGCCAGGTCCGCCTGGAGGACGTGGAGGTCGGGTCCACCGTCGAGGGCCGCATCGAGGGGAAGGACCTCGGTGGTGGGGTTTCCCTCGGGGGCCAGGGGCCACGGGGCCCATCGAGCAGTGCCCATGTCGATTTCTTCCGATTCGATTCGATTCGATTCGATTTCGATGGATGCCGATTCCGATTCGATTCGACTTCGGATTCCGATTTGGAGTCCCGTTTCAAATTGTGAAGGTCGTTCTGGTCTGCCGATTTCCGCCGATTCGGCGTTTCCCGACTCTGCTGCCGATGTCCGCCGATCCGATCTATTTCGGTCGCCGATCCGACTTACCGAATCGATTCTGGGCTCTCTTGCCACCAGGCCCATCCAGGAAGAAACAACGGCACAGACATCAGTTTCAAAAGGTCCGCGCAGACTTCTTGGATCGTCGTTTTGGCCCCCCCTCCCTGGCGCGCGCAGGTTCCTGTGCATGCTGTCTGTCTTCCGAGCCCGGGAGCAACCGGAGAGACATCTCGCCAGGTCCAAAATGCCAGCCAGAGCGGACGACGAGCAGCTGAGGACTGGTTCGTGTGGTCGCTCTCGTGCAGGGGTTGGGTCCTCGCTGCGCCGTGCGGCTCCTCCGCCCGCCCGCAGCCGCAGCCGCCGCCGGGCACGGGCCCGAGCCCGGGCCCGAGCCCGAGCCGAGGCCCGAGTCGCAGCGGGAGCCCGCAGCCCGAGCGTCTGCCCGAGGCGGAGCCCGCAGCCGCAGCCCCCGCTCGCAGGCCTCGGGCAGGCGGTGGCGTCTATAGCCTCCCAGGTGTCGTGCAGCGGCAAAGCGTCCTGGCGTGCCTTCAGCCCTACCAAACAATGTTCTAAGAACTTGTCGTGCGTTCCGCGAAATGTTCTTGTGGCATGGGACTGTCTTGTTTTAACACATCGGGCTTTTGCTCTAAGAACATTGTTCTCTGTTCTTAGAACATTGTGGGGTTCTAAGAACATTTCGTGGTAGGCCTATAGAAATGCCGGGACGGTCGGCCCCTGCTCAAAGATGGGTTCGGAGTAGGTGGGGTCGGAGGATCGCGCCGCATCGCCGATGCATCGCCGATGCGGCTCGATGTGAGGCCCGTGTTTCCCCGCGCCGACGTCGCGGGTGCATCGCATCGCGGGCAGGCGCGCAGACTCGGCGCGCACGCAGACTGGCGCTGCCGCCAAGCAGAGCCCATCGGGAAGCGAAGTGCGAGGACCGGGGAGATGCTAGCTGCAGCGCCACCGGCCTTGTCGCCGGGCTGCGTCCTCGAGGCAACAGCCTCGCGACGGGGGCAGGCGCGCAGAATCTGCGGACGCACGACGGCAGGAGGAGGAGGAGGAGGAGGAGGAGGAGGAAGAGGAGATGGGAGGGGGGGCAGGGAGGACCCTCGCTTGCTCGGTACCCTCGCGTTCTCGCCTGCTCGGCGCATCCTCACGCAATTCTGATGCGTTTCTCTGGCGCCAAAGGAAGTCGCATCCTTACCGTTAATTGTTTAGTGCTTCTGTTAATTATAAATCCTGCGATCGATTGTTTATTGGCGTGGTTGCCGCCTCGATCACCGGCTTCTGCCCCAAGATTGACAACCTGTTGTGACCGACGTTCGCTTTGCAAAGGAGGAGTTTTCGAAATTAGGACAGGCGCATGTTATTCAGGTGCTCGCTTTGCGTTTATCTTCGGCTCCGTTGTGCATCTGAGAAAACGGGTTTCAAGAGGGTGTCTGGAGAAACGATTGTGTGTACAGGGCCCTTTGTTTCTCATTGTATTTCGGTTTTCGGCGGCGGCGACGAACTCAAGTCTCCATCACAGGTTCCCAGTCTTCAGCTGTGTCGGGCGGTTTTCTCCTGGAAGGTCCCGCCTGGGTGTTCAGAAATGTCCTCGCCCCACGGGGGGAAGTGCCTCGTTCTTCGCATTCAAAAGCAGTTATGAGGCGTATGCTCTGGTGCAAGAGGCCCGCGCAGCCTTGCCCTTCATCTTCTTGCGCGCGCAGTGATGTGATGGGTTGTTCGTGTTGGCGTAACCTTCAACCCTGGGTTGCTGGGCTCTCTTTGGGGAAAAAAAGAGTTTTCAAAATAGTGGCAGGCTTGCGTTAGTCAGGCGCTCGCTTTGCATGTGTTGTCCTCGCTGTGCATCGGACGGACGAGGGAGGCTCGAGAGCTGGAGAGGGGGTCTAGAGAAACGATTGCGTTTGCAGGGCTCGTCGTTTCTCATGGGCGTTCGGGGTTTTTGCGGCATTGATGAGATGGGGCTCTGTCGAGGATGTGCAGTTATCCGTGGAACCTGGAGGTTTCCAACAGGCGTTTCTTCTTCCAGCGTCCGTAAGCTACCTCGTTCGACGGCTCCCGTAATCATGTGATCAGCGGCGTAATGTTCGCTCGATCAGCGGTGATTTCCTTGAAGCTGAACAACCAGATTGGCCGGGAACTAGTCGGAAAAAGGGTGACTTTTCGATATTTGGGCAGGCGTGTGCTATTCGGGTGCTTGCGCTGCATTCTTACGTATTCGTTGTGTATCGTAAAATTCGCAGGTCATAAGGGGGTCTAGAGAAACGAATGCGTTTGCAGGGCTCGTTGTTTCCCACGGGCGTTCGTGGTTTTCGTCGGCATTGATGAGAGGAGGGCTCTCTCGAAATTGTTCAGTCAGGCGTGGTGTTTGGGGGGTTCCAGTTCCAACAAGTGTTTCCTCGTCCAGCGTCCTCAAACTCTGTTCGACGGCTCCTGTAGTCATGTGATGGGTTGTGCTTTGGCGCAGCGTTCGCCCGATCAACGGCTACTGTTCTGAAGCTGCAATCCGGGGTTGCCAGGAGCTCGTTGGAAAAGGGGATGTTTCAAACTTAGGGCAGGCAGGCGTCTGTTAGCTATTCAGATACTCGCTTTGCATTCTTATGCAACGTTTTGTATCGGAAGAGGGAGGCTAGAATTTTGGAGGAGAGGGGTCTAGAGAACCGATTGCGAATACAGGAGTCGGTGTTTCCCACGGGCGTCGGGTTTGTTCGGCATTGACGAGATGAGGGTTCAATCGAAGGTGTTCAGTTAGGCGTGGTGTCTGGAGGTTTCCAAACTGGGTTCCGTGTTTAAACATATGTAAGTTTTGTCGCTCGACGGAGACGGTTTCCCGCTCGCTCAAAGTAAAATGTCCTTCGACCGAGGAAGATGTCCCCGCTTGCACGAAATGATTCCCTCGCTCGGTCAACGGAATTCCCCCGTTTCGCCGGGCAAGATATCCTCGTTCGCCCGTCGAAATCTCAGCGTCGACCGAACAAATCCTCCCGCTTGTCTACCCCAACTGCTGTTCTTGATATGGTTGTCAGCATGCGGACTCCGCATGACAGACTTTTCGTCACAGGTGGGCTCCAGCATGAGCGTCCGCATGCGGCCTGGCATGGGCGTCCCATGCATCACCGAGCGCGTTCTGCTACTCGCAAAG